TTTTTGCAGTTCTAACCTCTTACCTTCGATATTAGGGTCCAGTCTTGCATGTGTAATGTGGAATAACCTTCGGCTCGATTGCCCACTTTTCTTTATGCAGTTCTAACCTCTTACCTTCGATATTAGGGTCCAGTCTTGCATGTGTAATGTGGAATAACCTTCGGCTCGATGGCTCACTTTTCTTTGTGCAGTTCTCACCTCTTACCTTCGATATTAGGGTCCAGTCTTGCATGTGTAATGTGAAATAACCTTCGGCTCGATGGCTCACTTTTCTTTGTGCAGTTCTCACCTCTTACCTTCGATATTAGGGTCCAGTCTTGCATATGTAATGTGAAATAACCTTCGGCTCGATAGCTCACTTTTCTTTTTGCAGTTCTAACCTCTTACCTTCGATATTAGGGTCCAGTCTTGCATGTGTAATGTGGAATAACCTTCGGCTCGATTGCCCACTTTTCTTTATGCAGTTCTAACCTCTTACCTTCGATATTAGGGTCCAGTCTTGCATGTGTAAGGTGGAATAAATTTCGGCTCGATGGCTCACTTTTCTCTGTGCAGTTGTAATCTCTTACCTTCGATATTAGGGTTCAGTCTTGCACGTGTACCCCAATCAGTGTAACACTCTCTATTTACAGAATCATGTCTCTCATGGATTCCCGAGCAGGGTACTGTGGGGGCAAGCGGTGACTTAGCCCCCTTATCTCATCTGGCGCTTGGATTACTGGGGGAGGGGCAGATGTGGAGTCCCAAGAGTGGCTGGGCAGATGCTGCCCTGGTAAGGAAAAGAAATGCAGGAGCGTTTTTACAAAGATTGTAACTGTAGTAAAGCTGAGGTTTTTCCATGTAAACGCCTCTAAAAATTAATTGATGTTATGATCATAATTATGCAATAAGCCACACTTTCCATCGGTTTACCGGTTATTATAAACCACGCAAGATGTTGGGAGAACACTTGGTAAACTAATAGGAATCGTGGTTTGTTGCATAATTAAACTGTATTTTACAAATAAAATTTGGTGATGTTAGAAAAATAAAATCTTTAGCGATGTTTTTGACGTTCGAAGTGTCCTCTTCGTTTCCCTAAGCCAAAGGCCTTTACAAATTAAAATCTAGGAATTCGCTCCTCGTGGCGCTATTTGGCAGGATATATATTTTTCAGTTTTCAGTGAGTATATATTGGCAAATAGACAATATATTTTTGACCAATATGAGCGCACGTTTCGTGCAAGTTACGTCATAATATGTACTTATATAGGGTTTCAGTGGTAGTAATAATAATTATTAGGCGAGAGTTTTGACGCGTCGAAGCAAAGCAATGTCTATATGATGACGATGCCTTTGGTTCATATCTGGCTTAGATTAACATCCTGACTCACTTCTGTAATTTCAAACACCCTGAAATTCGTTTACAGTACTTCACTGCGCTTCTCCTTAACTGATATTTCTTCTCTCCGGTTTAAGATGAAATGCCTCACTTGGAGACTTGCTTATTTTCGTCCATTAAAAAGTGAGTTTATCTTACAGAGTGATGTAACAGTATTGTTACGTTTTTGTCATGGCAGGTCCTAAAGGCATATGGATTGGGGCGTTTACAGCTACAACCTAAAGAAGTATGTTATTTTAGTTTTATTGTTATATCTTTTTAAAAAGAAGTTGATTTGTTAAAGGTGTTTTTTTAATTCCTCCTTAGGGACTTGCTCTGATTAACGGTACTCAGCTAATAACGTCCCTTGGTGCTGAAGGTAAATCTGGAAAACATTTATTTCCCCATCAATTGCTGTGTTTTTGAAAAAGCTTCACGCATGCGCAGGGCACATTTTGATTAAGCGTCTTAAAATTCAAGCGAAAGTAATCGCAATAGCCAATCCGAGTAAATTAAGGGAGCGCTTCTTCTGTGCATGAGAATTCACAGAAGAAGCGCATAATTTTCTAAAAGGGCGCGAAAACACGAGGGGCGAAGTCGCGATTGCTTTTTATGTACGTCTGATTGGTTGAGCCAAAGGTTAGGGCGAGTTTTGAAGCCAATCATGGGGTGGACTAACGCAAAATGTAGTCAATCCTTTGAACTTTCGCGAGTCAAATGAAAGTTACTTCAATCAGTGAGTAATATATTGGTGAAAGCTGAAGAAACGATCTTGGAGTTTTCTGGAGTCGTTCATAAACGAATAAGAATAGTACTAGATTAGTCGAAGACCGGATCATATCTTTAACCAAGTATTTAGATTTTTGGCACAGTGACACTTGTCAAAAGATAAAATTGTAAATTCAGACGATTTTCATTTCGAAATTTCTTTTTCTTTTGTTTATCCAGCTGTGGAACGTGCTCGAATGATTGCGAGGCAGGCCGATATAATTGCTGCCATGTCACTTGAAGTATTAAAGGGAACCACACGAGCCTTTGATGTTTGTAAGTATAATAAGAGAGAATAATATTTCGAAACCAAGCACAGATTGACTTCAATGATTTATCGTTACAATATTTCAAGCATTTGTGAGTCTTGACACAGCAGTATCGGTTACGTACATAAGTTTCCTTTGTTTCGTTTGTTTGTTTGTTTGTTATTTTGTTACAATAACAAAATGCCTTAAGGAGCTCAGAATCCTCGATCAGTTGTTCTGTACTAATATTATGGACTGTTTTAGCCGATTTTTTTTCCCCTGCGAAACCGCTCGAGAAACTCATTTAAAACAACAGGATCAGTTTGAAGGATGAGGGAATGTTTTCGCGTATATCTTCGACTGTCGCAAATAGATAGTAAATAGATCTCGGCTTCTGTAGGAATAACACAGACGAATGCATTTGAAAATCTTACCATGCAAAGTATAGCAGAAACTTGTTCCAACTCTCAGAAGTTCACAGAGCCTGATTCATATTTACTTTAGAGAGGTCTTATTCTTTCGCACATGATGGTACTTTTAAGAATGAAGAAACTTACTTTGCACAAATTCATCTGTATCCACTTAGATTAATCATAAAGTTTACCGTGAAATTTCTAAATTCAATTCATTTGATGAAACCTTCAGTAATCCAACAAGTGCGCCCACACGTTGGCCAGCGTCGTGTCGCTGAGAGACTGCGCTCTCTCCTTCACTCAAGTGTGTATCCGTCAGAAATCGCAGGCAAGTATGACTCTTAAGTTTATTTAGCGAAGTTGCTGTTTTAAAGTGACGGGCAACAACCCAAGTTGAGTTTCTTTAGACGAATGCCAGAATAAATTGAGTATTGATACCCAGCCCCAGGGTGTTCTGTCTTTTTTACGACTGCGTTTGGCCTAGAAATGACCATAACGTTACAAAAGGTTTCGATCTCCTCTATAAACAAGTTAGTCATCCATGCTTATTTTATTTTATTAGAGAGTCACAGATTCTGCAACCGCGTCCAGGACGCGTACACTTTACGCTGCTGTCCGCAGGTAGGGGACCTTACTGATAATTTCACAAGTCACTTTTCTTAAATTTCGCGCTTTCTCATTTCGATAATACATAAATAAAAGAAGATTAGAATTAAAGTGGGGAACGATGTGAAAATGCAAAATAAGACGAACATTCTAAAAACCTACGCTTACCTAATGATTTATGTTTCTTTTCTTTTTGGGGTCGATGGGCATAAACTCGGCGAGAATTGAGAACTGCGACATATTTCTTACTGGAAATGTCTGAGACTTAATTCCTTCAGCGTGTCAACGGAGCTCCATTTTCTGCCTTTAAAAGCACACACAACCCACAATTCCTCTATTCGCTCCGACGAAGGGCAAACGCTCGAAACGTCAGCTTTTGTAATCGTTACGGTGGCCAATTTACCATTTCAACTTTGTTGATATATCCAAATTATTTCGTCACTCCCACCGACGCAGCCCCAAACAGTTTCGTTCGAAACTATCAGCCTTTATTCATTTTTTGTATATTCTGTAGGTCCATGGGATCGTGAATGACACCATTGATTTCGTACAGGATGTGATCACAACTGAGATGAACAGTGCCACAGACAACCCAGTATCCTTCAATAAATTAAGTCGTCTTTGTAGGCACGAAACGCGTGCAGAGCCATTTTGATGCTTGAGAATTAGAATACAAGAACCCAAGAACAAGTTAGAATTTATGTCGGGTCAGGGAAGGGTGTGTGCGCTGTTGCTCAGATACTGAGCTTTTGAATGTGAGTAGCAAAATTAAACTGTTTCAAATAATAAACTTAATTCATGTTGATCAGATTGTCTTTGCTGATCAGGGCGAGATCTTGTCCTGCGGAAACTTTCATGGAGAATATCCGGCCAAGGTATCATCTGAAAGGAGATTTCTTTGTTGTTTACATATTTTCTCAATTGTAGACTAACTTAAGTTGTATTCTTTTTATGTTCTCTTTGTTTGGATTTGTTCTTTTAATTTGCTGTTGTTGTTTGCTGTTTTTTGTGTTAGTTTTGTTTTTACTGTTTGTTTTACATTTTCTTATTTTTGATTGAATTGTTTCGTTTTTTTTTTTTTTCTCGTTGTTGACGCGAAATTATGATACGAGCGTGAGGGGGCTGGGGTAACGTAGCCTGTCTCGTCCTTATCTCCTCGTACTTCAGCCACGAACAAGCAGAGAAATTAAATAACTTAACAACTAACAAAACCAAACAACATTTATGAAATGCTTATAACTTATCTTTTTATTTTCGTCGGTTAGGTGCTAGATTATCTAGCAATTGGTGTCCACGAGTTGGCTATCATGAGCGAAAGAAGAATCGAAAGACTCGTAAATCCGGGTAAAAATAATATTACAAGTGAACGAATGCCTGAACTTTGAATGATAAAGGTTGTTTCGACTCGACATTCCTTTTTTTATGGAATTTCGAGAGTTTTAACTGAACACTTACGTCATTTTTCTTTAGCAATCAAGAGACAGAAATTTGTGTTATTTGTACAAATTCAGGCAACTGTACCTAAACATTTGGTAACCGTTCAGGACATGCTTTTTGTTTGTTTCTTTGTTTGTTTCTGTTATTATTTTGAATAAAATTGTCTGTATACTTTCTAAAGCAGAACAGTTACAGTGGCATTTTTCTATTATACATGTTTTAGCCTCTGGCTTCAATGGCTGAGGAAGCTGAACTACCTGGAAAGTCAACATAATTACAAAAACAGAAAAAAAACAAAACAAAACAAAGCAAAACACTTTCTCTGAGGCAACAGTGCAACACAAAGCGCACTCGTGAGATTTATGATGATTGACTTGCCAATGCGCGCATGTCCGTTTGCACTCAAGGCATCTAAATGACCCGTGTATTTTCTTTATTATATTTTATCACTTGTGAGCAGTGAGCTAAATATTTTTATTTTGTCTTTGTAGCCCTAAGTGAGCTTCCAGCGTTTCTTGTTAAGGAAGGAGGTTTCAATTCGGGTAATATTTTCTAATTGCTTCACATCTCCTCAGAACAGTTGAACTGATGAGCAGACGGGCGGGCAGAAAACAGGACCGACAGACCATGCGACCTCAATCGCATGACTCACTGACTCACTGACTCACTGACTCACTGACTCACTTACTCACTGACTCGCTGACTCACTTACTCACTGACTCACTGACTAATTATCGATGATTCCACTGACTGGTTGACTGAGAGACTGGTAAAAGCTTTGTTAGTGGGGCAAGCTTAAGCAAATGGAGAATATATCATTACTCATTTAGACTTTCAGTGATCGTTGAATCTTGGATTCTATAACGTCTTTTGGGGTTGGGTCGTTATAATGTCAAATGCAATTTAGCCCGCCAAAATCTCTATTTTAGTCCGTGAAATGCATCGCAAATCCCGACAAAGTGATAACTACGAGTATTAGTGTTAGCCCTGATATTACCGAGTGTTTCATTTTCATTTTCATTTTCCCTCCTAGGATTCATGATGGCACACTGCACGGCGGCATCTTTAGGTAGGCGATATGTTTTTAAACAAGTTTTACAATACCTTTTCCCTTTGACTGACTTCACCTTCTTCATAGTTTCAGAGAATAAAGTTCTCTGCCACCCCTCCTCAGTTGATTCGTTGTCCACATCTGCTGCCCAAGAAGATCACGTGTCCATGGGAGGATTTTCCGCCAGAAAAGCTCTTAACGTTGTTAAAAATGTCGAAAAAGGTCAGAACATAAATATCCAAGTGATCTTCGTGATAATGAACACTAGTTGAGCAGTAGTGAAAATAAGGCCCGACAAAAATTCGGCCCTGCATGGAATTTTAAACCCATGACCTATGCGATACCCGGTACCGTAACAAACCCGTGAAGTGACGAATAAATTACTGTGAATGTATACGATAACCCGCAGTTCACATACATGATTTTCATATATTCAATTTCAAGATTACAATATGTTTGTCGAGTTCATCTGCATGACAGAATGAATTCTCGGTAGGACAGGATAACACTGGTCGCCGTATACAGCACAGCTATATTTAGATCCTAATTCTATTTTGTTATGAACCTTACAGTTGTTAATGTTAAATGGTTTTTTTCAGTCCTTGCCATCGAATTGTTAGCAGCTTGTCAAGGAATCGAGTTTCTGCGGCCGCTGAAGACAACAGAACCTTTGGAAGCTGTCCACTCGCTCGTGCGGAAAGTCGCTCAGTTAGTTTTACATTTTTTTACTTTAGAGCGCATGTAGATTTCGTATCCTTAAACCACAAATAATTACACACTCAATCCGGACAGAGAAAATTACATTAAATGCATAAAATTGGCGGAACGTAAATGATCCAGTTGGTTCTGGTTTCGTATCTTTTTATATGAGAGAGTCCCTGGTGCTAGACTACTACACTAATTACAGGGTTTAGTAAAATCAATGTTTTTTTTTTTTTTTCCTTTTTCTTTCTGGCCCTCAGGCCTTGGGATAAAGACCGATATATGGCACCTGACATTGAGGCTGTGTTGAAACTCGTGAAGGAAGGAAAGGTACGTGTAAAAGTTTAACCAAGTGCTAATTGAAAACAGGAACATGCTGTGTGGTGACTCCCGATTGATCCAAGCATGAGAAAAACAATGATGATCAGCCGTAAAGTGGTATCACAAATGCTGCAATCTGATTAACTACGCTATTCTTCTGTACCTATGAGTTCGAGATTACTATCACGTGATTTTTGACTTGGTTGATGCCCAAAGAAACTATAGCGCTTAGTTTGTCTGTTAATCAACATTCGTTATCTTGGCTTTTATGTATTTTGGTATGTTTTTTAATTTGCTTTCTTGTTTGTTATATTCTTGCTTCATGAAAAGCAACGATTGCTCATGAACAAGAGGTGACCTCTTTCTGCCATAAAGCATCCCCTCCCTCCATATTCCAATTTTCTCTCAAAGATATTTCCGAGGGTGTGGAATTTCCACGCAGCATTTACAACATAACTCTTGCATCTCTGTGGAGGCGCGGTGGCCTCATGGTTAGTGCGCTCGACTCCGGATCGAGTGGTCTGGGTTCGAGCCCCGGCTGGGACACTGTGTTGTGTTCTTGGGCAAGATACTTTACTCTCAAAGTGCCTCTCTCCACTCAGGTGGATAAATGGGTACCGACAATTTAATGCTGGGAGTAACCCTGCGATGGACTAGCATCCCATCCAGGGGGGAGTAGAAATACTCCTAATCGCTTCATGCTACAGAAAACGGAGTTAAGCACCGGCCTAATGGGCCACTAGGCTCGTAAACAGACTTTACTACATTACTTACTCTTGCATTTCTACCTCGCAGATCTGGGAGGTAACGTCACCATTTATGACGCATTACCAAAGCACCACCAGATGTCAGCAGGAGCTCCACAGTAACATTCTGTCCCCTACTGCCAGTGCTTTGTCCGATGACACTCCTCCACCTAAGAAGATCAAGCTAAATAAAGAATGAATGGGATGCGAATAGCGTAGCAGCGTCGTGGACGTTGCGTGTAACGGAAACGTTTTCTTCAGCTAAAAACTTTTGATATCACATCACAGATAAATTCTAATTATCATTACTTGTTGCCTGTGATTTTAATCTCCTATATAGCGTGAGGCGAAAAAAATTGCAAATTTACAAAGCAAAAAGCAAACACACAGAAGCAGAAATCGGCGAGGTTTCTTCAGCTTTCGTACTCCGCTCCCTTCTCCAAGCTCATCCGATTTTTTCTTTGGGCATGCAGATAATTTAACTTTATACTCATTGGTCTCTTTTGGTCATGTGTTATATTGCACTGTCGTTGCTGACCCAAAAGTTAAGCGGGCTCTGAAGACGAGATTGACTTCGTACAGCGGACTACATGTCAATTGAATACTTTGTTTTGATTTCTCAGGCATCACTTTTATTTGTCTACTTTTGCATCGTGTTCGAGTACTTTAGAATGTTCAATATTCATTAACAGGCAATAAATATGGGTTTATGGAAAACTTCATTTAATCGAGTTTGAACCAAGAATATTTTCATTTATTAACTCGATGTATGGTTACAAGGCCGAGAGTTGTTTCTCAAGGCGTTTAAAAAAAGATGTGTCACATAGTGCTGCCCGAAATCACAAGCTCGGATGTTTTAAGTATCTGCCATTGTAAGTCCCGGATGTAACCCATCCGGGATAATGATAAAACGCGGCGCAGGGTGCATAAAATAATTTATTTCCTTTGGTAATAAATTTCATTTTAATTGTTAGCGTACTTTAAAGTTATGCCAAGTCAAAATTAAACAATTCCATATGCAGACATGCTCTTTGGCTTGCTAAGGTTTGGTAATAATTTATTTGTATAATTTTTATTTGTAAGATATATATATATATATATATTACCGTTATGTAAAAAGTGAAGAGATTTCACAATAAATAAACAGGAAACTATACTTGCTGTCTTAAATTTCCTTTGAAAACTTTCTTGTAAGAAAATGTTTATTTTATCTCATATGTGGTTTGGCTCGGAGTTTGTTTGTTCGTTTATCGTTTCTTTTAGGAATATTCACTTATTCCCGTTATCAATACTTAACTGAGACGAACGGGATATCGATCTTGCATCGATGTTTTAATTCAGATATCAATATATTTTTTCTCAATATCATCCATCACCGTGTAAAAATTTAAAGAGGGTCGTTGGTTTTAAGCACTACCTTTAATTTAGTATTTCCTGTAGACAATAAACAAAACTAAATGAAGGAAGAATAAAGAAAATGAAAGCGAACAAAGCAAACTTGAACAAACAACAATGATAGAGAAATAAAATTAACTAGCCTTGGATCACAGTGTCGAGTCTCAAACGTAATTTACTTTTCTTAGGATAATTTTATTAATTTTATTAATTTAATTTTATTTTATCAACTGACTGTAAATTAGCCACCATAAGAGTTTACAAAGCTGAAGTTTCGAGTGATAGGAGGCCTGGGTTTGAGTGTTAGCCCTTCTTAATTTCGCTCAAAAAGTCAGCTTCAGAAACCCTTACGTTAGCCAATTTACATGATCGACTCAGTTGATAAAACCAAAGCATCATGTAATCCCCTCTACCAATGCAGTGCTTCTCGGGCAAATATTTGTTTTAAGAACATCAAATTTCCAAGG